TTTGATTCACACATTTCTAGTGACTATAAGGATCTTTATGTCAGAATCTTGTTCTTCAGAGATAAAAAAACAGTTCTCAGAAAATCAGTGTTTTCTGATGGAAAATTTCTATCTTGCCAGACAAAAAAGTTCCATAGCATTATTTCCCAGTGGAAAAAGAATGAAATAAAATATTTCATTCTGGGCATGATTAAAATTAATATATTTTGGTTTGCCAAGCCAGACCAAAGTATTAATTTTCAGTTCCCCTCTACTTCGAGCTAAATCCACATTCAGTGGTCATAGCTCATTACTAGAGGCGGGTTTACAGTCCTTGTGGTGTTTTCCAGTTGAAACACCACACCACATCATATTGCATAACGGAGAATGCAATGGGAAGTCTGCCCAGGGGACCCAGTCCACAGAGGACAATGAAGATGAGAGGGCACCAAGTTCTTGTGATGCAGCTTCCTCAGGCTATTTCATGAAAACTCACTTCTGAATGTGATAGTGCCTTGGGAAAAGCACAATAACGACCATCTGCAATAGTTACATTCAATACAAGCAACATGATATAGGTTACATATACAGCTGTGCACAAGGGAGCATTCAGCCCCAATGCTAGTTCATGCCTGAGCTGAATGTATGTAACTGATATTTACTGCCACTGATTTGAGGCTACGTTGGTACATTGCTGAAATATAAAAAAAACAATTGACAATGATCACTTATCGGCTGTGATTACATCTCATGCTCATGTTTTTTTCAGAAGAATGCATACTTCTGAAGACACGCTAAGACGGTGTTGAAAAAACTGCCAAGGCTGATCACTTCCATTTAGAGCATTTGGGCAAAAAGTTTTGTGAGTGATAACAGAGTAATAAGGAATGAAGTCTACACCTTCAGACTCTGCAACTTAGTTCTTCACAAATGCTACAACTTGGGGTTTATTTTCATGTTCCAGGCAAAGTCTACTGAGACATTCGGTAGACATTACAATGTCATTTTCCTGCTAAATGCCTAACACAGAGAATCAAAAATGTTAATTTTCTACATTTGATCTTTGAAGCTCTAAATGGCAGCTAGCTTCTCAGAAACACCAAGTCCTTCCGCCACTTCAGGCATCAAACCAAGGAAGTGAGCTGTATCCTCAGTGTTGGAGCTCTTAAGTCAGTAGCATGGAAAATAGGACAGATCTGGTATTCCCTTGGAGCTCATCTTCAAGATATTTGCTGATGTCTTGTGCTTAGTGTGATGCTGTCATTTTACAGAATTAAATTAACTGAGCACTTTTCCTGAGAACCCTCAGCCTACAGTCTTTAATGGACTGAGCATTTCTATATGGCTTACTCTGAGATTTCATGAGCCAGAGTGCGGCCAGCTCACATAATACCTCTGAGTCTCTTCTGCCCTGGGTAAGGCAGGACACTCTGGTCTTCTCTCTTACAGTCTGAAGGCCCTAGATTGGACTGTTAGCTTGGCTAACACTTCATTGTCATTTATGTCTATGGAAGGTGGCCCAAAATAAGTAAGAATTTGGTAGCGAGGTAAATACAAGACATGAAGGCAATGATCAGGGAAGGATATAATGTTAATTCACAGAATTCATGGGGATATTTTCAATACACACCCAAACAGCCCTCTAAGTCCTGCAGCTGAGCTGCAACTGAGCACTACATGATCTACTTTATGATGTTGCCAGTCTCTTCCCCAGGAGACCCAGGGGTGACTGCAGCTGCTTGAAAGTGATTTTGAAACCTGACTTTGTAAAACGTCCCCAGAGCAGCTCCCCTAATGTTTACTGCCTCTGAGGGTCTCTGTCTCCACGACCGCCTGCTAAGAAAAGATATGCTATTTCTGGCTGGTGCTCCTAGCTCTAGGCTTACAGCAAGAATCCTCCCTCCTAAACTGGGATGACTACACTGTAGCTATCAACTGGACTACTCATCTTTGACTCTGTTTATGCCCAGTGGCATATAAACGACATATGTTCTTTTCTTCACTACATAAAATAGATCAGACAACTCACACTCTACCAAAGCCTATTTCTCTCCATTGACTATGAAGGGAATCTAGAGGATAAGTTCATATGTTGAAACTCTCCCTTTGTGGATATCCAACGAGTCAAACGAGTTCAGTAGTACTTTGGTCCCCGCTGAGAGCAAGGGGATACCTTAGCTCACTTTGGAAGCAGTGAGAGAGAGGAGTGACCCTTACAGCTCAGCACATTCCCAGGGCCAGCCTGGGAGAAGAATTCACTCTCTCCCTTGCTCACACTAATCCTTGCTACAATCAGCATCCCCCCCCCCA